GGCATTGAATCTAACGTGCTGATTTCTAAGAGTTCCGGAAGGCGGTGGACGTGTACTCGGAGGAAACTCACCAAGCAGTCCTGCGAAACTCGTCCAATGCCTTTAAGTTTCATAGGGATCTTATTTCACGCTTTCCAACACCCTTTTTCCCTTGATTTTTTTTGATTAATGCATTCATTTGGATCACAACTGTTAAGGCAAATGTAACCCCTGAACTGCAAGTCCATGCGAAGCGCTGTTGTTTAACCTAAGTAATCAGGATGTAATTCATGACAGCTTTAGTCTACCACCAAAACGTGGGGCGAAACTTCCGCAGAAATGATCAGTGACCTTTCAGGTTGACGATGATCTATTAGAGGCCATTGACCAGATGTGAATGTAACGGTGGCTGGAATTAGCAGACATCGACGACACGACGACACTCTTATAGGAACAACTTTTTTTTTGCGAAATATACTCCTCATTTGACAGGTCGTTGGAATCAGTTTTGCAGGTTTGTAAGCAGAATTGTAGAATGTTGTAACGCGTAGTATATTGTATCGCCTGAGATGATAGCGTGAGCAATTAAAGGTAGGGACACATCACTCGGTGAGATATTTTAAATTTGATAGACAATGTCGTTTGTTGCTGTGTTGTATAATGAGACAGCGACGGATAATTTCTTGTCAATTGAAATATCTTTACAAAATCCAGGTACGATCCAGCCGTTTAGTTATGACAGCGCAGCACGCTAACCGCCGGTTCTGGACTGCGCTCGATGTATGCTAATCAGTATGGTATAATGCAGAAGATGGATTTCACTTATTCTTTAGGTGAAACCTTTGAAAAGCGCCCACACAGGGCACACGTCGTGCAACGGAGATCCTCAGTGGGCAGTCGTATCCGGTCCATGGAGGGAGAGAGGGTCCTACTTGCCAAAGAAAACTTTCTGCTCGGCCGGCAAAGAAAAAGATTTTTTTTTGCGATCATCCACGTTTACAGACTGTTGCTCCCTATCCCCCCTCTAGAGCTATTTTTTGAGGCGAAGAGTGGCAACTTTCGACAAAATTGGGAACAAACTGGGTAGGAAGTTTTAGGAAGATGTTAGACGGGACTGTAAATAAGAGAGCGAAATGGGAGGGGGTTCTTTTTAGCTAATATCCCGAAACACGGACGTGCCACGCGCCGATCAACAGATAGCATCACAGTGGCGCTTTCGACGCTTAGCTATCGATATACGTGGCATAGGGACATCCACGGTTCGCCGTACCTGACTTATCCTGCCGACCGCTTAGAAGTCATCCGAGTCAGAGCAGTTAAAAATTAAATAGATAAATGTATTGAAGAAACATTTTGTTAACTTCCCACTGACTTCGGAGTCACCTGAATCATCAAATGTTTCGCTCTGATTCGATCTGACTGGCTTCTATTACCCCACCCTCCTATCCCCCAACCTTTTTGCTTCCTGGAATTTCCCCAATCGCTGCCCACTACTTTGAATTTTCTCTTCTGGAACTTTTTTCCTTTCTTTTTTTTTCCTTAAAATGTTCCCGCGAAACTACTGAAGAGATATAACTGAAAACTGAATCAGAGAAAACTGCGAACGGTAAATAACAGGAGGCATTCTCCTCGACGACATTGACGACCTCCCCCCAGCAATTGAATACATACGACCCTCTTGCTGGGGGTTCCCAGCGTACAACGTGTCCTACTTTTACTCACTTTCTGTGGGTGCACCTCCAATCCTTCTGAACTGATCCCGATTTCAACATTATTTCAACATTCTACTTGGACGTGGGCCGTACTGCGACGTAAGTTTACGAATCTCCCGTCTCATCAGCAAGACCACTCAGGGTGTCTTGTGCCCACACGAAGTTCTCTTCAAACTGCATATTTAAGCTTGGTTGATCACATACAGTCCTCATCATTGCGGACCGGTGGGGCGTGTCAGCCAGTATGAGTGTGCACACTGTTGAAGCCGTTCTCAGCCTTTTTGTTGAAACGCGTATGCGACAAAAAGTGGTAGAAAACGAGTAATACGAAGGATATAATACAGTAATGTCACTTGCCCGCTTCAACAACTGGTGCAGAACGACTTTGGCCCCGCGCCAAACGCGCCGCCCCGACAGTACGTAATGATGAGGACTATAATAGTATGTACACCTGCTTCAGTGGATTGATCACGACTCAAAGATAACTCTCGTGACAGAAGTATTCTGAGCCTTTCAGATCACGCAAACCGTATGATGTGGGCAGCACATTTCATCATCTAAAAATGCTGGAAAGTTTGCGGATATTCAACGTTGATCTTCAGTTTTCACGAACGGTAACAGTTTTTGATGTTTTTAGTCCAAGAATCCTGCTTTCGAAAGTTTGTCGTAATAAATGATTCTGTTCTTACTCTCCTTTCCCGAGAGCGCGTTCATACTTCGCGATCCCGTCGCTTCGATCGCGCTCCTCGACCATGGGCGTCCACCGCCAGTCGATGGACCACAGCAACGGCATTGGAAATGACGAACTGTTCGACTTTGCTTTTTTTCGTTTTGATCTCAAATTCGCTTTTTTTTCCTCAAATTTATGTGCATGATCTCCTTTCAAGGAACTTTTTTACGTGTCTTCTACTTTTGTGACGCATAATTGAAGACCATAGTTAATATAAGCCTGGAGCCCGTTGCCCACAACCCACCTAAGCCCCATGAAATGAAATCCTGTGTGACAGACATATTCGTGCGCTCGCGTATACATTTTATTTATTTATTATTTACCTACTTATGCGTAAATACAACGCGCACAAATAAAACAAAGTAGCAATGTAGAATAACAAATTCCCGAAGAAAGAAGAAAGAGATAAATTCAAACAACTAAACCAAAACGAAAAAAACAAAAAAAGTAAATCCTCAACAGTGAGTCAATGAGGAGAAGAAATTGAGGAACGACCTCCTATATTCTGAACACTATGAAGAGCCCGTGAGAGTTCACCACGGTGGTGCGCCCCCTCCCCTTCAGTCGTGGTCGCGTGACCTGATCGCTCAAAGAATAAAAGCGATTAGATCGCGAAGTATATACGCGGTCTCGAAGACCATAATCTTCTCATTAATACACTGCCATTTCCCATCGCCTAGTGATGGCCCCTTCCTCAAAGCTACTGCGGACGCTTCGTGAGCAGGCCGAGCCCACTTTCTGCGCGTTGGCCGTCCTCTCATGAGAAAGGGCTTAGTGAAAGTCATGAGTGGCAACCGGTTGAGGGCGCAGACCGGCAGAGGATGGGCGTGGTGTGGCCTCCCCAGGCTCCCCCCCCCCCCCACCCTCGTTTATACTGCCACCCCAGTCTCTACATAACAGTCTGCTCAAGAGGAAATCTTAGTATCCTAGTAAGATTGTATCCGTTTAGATATAGGAATCCCTCTATTGCATGTTCAACTCACCAAGCTAATCACCCCTGTTCAGGTCTCTCCGTGGGTTCGTACAATATCACACATTCACATAGAGAATTCTTCCCTTTACGAGCTACCTCCATGGCTGGCGATGAGTGACAAGTTGCATACGCTCACAATTAAAAGTAAGTTTCCAGTGTCACAAGTTGAATGCGTGTGATTTGCCATTACATCGAACCACTGTCGATATCCATTAGGCTTATAGTAGAGCAAATCAGGTAACAACTGTGCGACTAGTCGCGAAGCGGTCCACTTCGCTGGATGCGGCGTACGAGGTTATGGCTGTAGTTAAGACAGAGCCTGCGATCAGGAATCGTCGGTAGGAGGGTTGGAATAGGGATGTCCAGGCGCCAATAGCAAAGAGAGAACTAGATGAACAGTCGGAAATGCTCCAAAAGAGATCCTACCCAGAGCGAGTTTGTGCGACATGACGGCGAAGAGAGGTTGTAGTCGGAAGAGATCATTGGACACTGGTGTTGTAGTGGATAGGGTCGGTGCAGTTCATGCCAGCTGGCCCCTGCATACGTTCTTTGACGGATTTTCTGTTATTATGGTTAGGGCAGAGCGATGAGTCGGGCCAATAAGGCATACGACGATATGGGTACCCTCTTCACTCGGTTTTGCGTAACGAATGTGCACCAACCACTGGTAAAGTGACTGACTGTGACTGTGACCGTAGACCAGGCCGCTGGCAAGGAAAAGGGACTACTCACCTTGAGCTGATCGTGGAGTAAGCCTTTGGGTTGGGTTGATCATGGGTGATGACCTGGATGCGTTCCCAGTTTCTCACTGACGATAAGCGATCCTCATATCCCACAAAAGACTTACTGATCGTTGGCCGATTTCTCTCAGTAACCTCTGCATTTTTGGCTGGCTGGCTTTTCACTGCCATGTATTTCGATATTGGACAGCGGTGCCAGAATTCCCCTGCCAAATTGTTCTCAAAAGCGCGGCACAGTCTATCCCGCGTGTGGTCGTGCCGCCTCTGGGCTTGTTCCATGTCCATGACCTCTCTGAAGGTTAGAGCTATGACAAAACGAGAAGGCGTACAGGGTTGATACCAGAATGCACAAGGGAATGTTATGCCCTTAGCAGGCGCCGCGTGGCGCCTATTACAACCAAGGGCACCATTATAGCGCCAAACCAAGGTGCAACATGCCGACCCAGACGCACCGCAACCGTCCCCCACAGAAGGCGGCACAGTCACATCGGCGCTGGTCTCTTATCGCTTCATTCATAAAAAACGATTAATATGAATGCAGCCGTATATATCACAGCGGTCGTTGGCACGATGCCGACGGGAAATTCGTGCAACAAATGCCAGTCCAGTGCCTGCAGAACAAAGCTTTTTCGCAGATTTTTAGCCGCTAATGTCGCTTTTTCACTCATTTTCCTCTATAAGCACCTCTGCTAGTAATTGAGACCAAGTGCATTATGCTTTTACTTGATGAAATCAATGTGACACTTTTTTTTTTTCTATTTTTCATATAGCCAAGCTTCATTCGATATCGACGTATCACAACTACGAGAACATTCGGGCGTGCGAACTGTCCAGGCAAACGAAATAGTGATATTGGGAGGCACTTGATGGTTAGCAGTGATATCTACGACATTGATCTCAGTCGGAACAAGGTTGGTTCATTAGAATAGCGTCAGATGAAGCCTGATTTTCCATCATCTCATAAGCAGTGCGAGTTATAAGAGACAGCCACCTTCACCTTGTTTGAATGATTTTCCATTTTACCATCTCAGCAGATTGGGCGCTTTTGTAGTTAGCGGCTAGGCAATTAGCTGCAAATCTAGGCTAGATCTCCGCTCGTCTGCGCTCTCACATTCAGATAGCGTTTGGCGGAGGCTGATTGGGGCCAATGAGGGTACACACGAGCAGGAAATGGGTGGTCTGGTGGTGAATCTGGTGGTAGGTCCCTTCTCACGCCTCAGATCGTCGTGCTGCTCGATCATATCAGGGAAGGTGTATTGGACCACCCGTGATCATCCCGGAGGTCAGAGGGGAGCTTCACTGCGTACTTCGCTTATAAATCGCATAGCACGCGTGTTTTGTGGGTTATTTCCATTTGAGACAACTGTCATCTTTCTCTATGCTGAATGAGAGACATGGCTAAAACAATCTCGAAAGAACGAGTATCCGCTAGAAGCGCTTGTCGCGCCACGACGTTAAAGTAGAACAACGCACGCCACGCCTCATCCTCTCCGGGAGTGCACGCTGAATAAGACTCGTCTTTGTGAATCTCAGGTTGAATTTGTTTACTTTCGAGTTACTGAGGTTAGCATAATCGCATAATCGCTACAGACACGAAGGATTTTCAAACAGCGTTTTCAGTAATTCTTGCATTTTCTGATCTCCGCTCCCCTTTAAAACCCCTAATCATTTAAAAGGGATGCAAGAAGACGCAAAAAAGCGTTGAGGCGATTATGCGCCTTATGCAAGGGCGCCTTGCCCTAAAAAAAACAGGGTCGATCCTCATGTTTTTGAGCATTTCAAATGAAATGTGTTTATTATAATATGTTTTCATATTTTTTATCGCAATTTTACTTCAGATTTCTCTGTTTGCACCACATACGTTTTCATTGTGCACGGAACTTCGTGTGCTTGATCTTAGTCATAATCCGATCAAAGTGTTGCCATATCGACCATTCGCACGGAATTCCAAGCTCAAATGGCTCAAGTTAAGTGGAACCGATATTAAGGTAAGTTACTGAAGGAATTCGAAATCTCAGGGAATGTACAACGCAACGCTAAGTCCTTGGCCAATCTGTAATCCCTGGGGTCAGATTCTAGGCCTAGCACATACACGTTTCAAAAATTATGTCCATTAAAGACTTGGAAACATGCGCAGCCATTATTGTGTCTTCCAGCGTTTGTCTCAAGTGCAGTAAGAGCGAGGCGCCAATGGTTTCTCAATATTCGCCCATGATCCTCCTGTGAACTGCGCATGAGCGCCACAAAGTGGCTTCCTTTTTTCGCCCACTAGAAATTCCTCATCATTGCGGACTGTCGGAGGGCGGCTGTGCAACGCGGTCCAAATGGGCGTCGTGCTCTACCAATGGCGATCGGGTAAAGCGATTTAGTGAGGGAGCAACCAATGATGGAAATGCCGCAGCTGCGAGCCGCTGATTGCGAACCGACAGTTGCGGTGGTGTAAACGTGTAAGTATCGCTTAAGGGGCTATTAGAGCATAATTGCGTATCCTATATGCGTCCTAAAACAATTGAAAGAGTCTTTCTGTTCAATTTTGCTTTTGTATTTTCAGAATGCTCTTACCGTAAACACTTAAACAGCCTCACTTGCAGGAGTTGTCACCGGAGAATTTCGTCGGGCTGTCATCACTGAAGTCGCTCACACTTTCTCATTCGCCTTTGCGGTCAATTGCGCCATTTGCGTTTCTTCCATTGAAATCGCTGAAAACGCTCGACTTGGAAGCGACCAATATCAGTGCCATCCCACTGGCTGTCACGCAGAACTGTGGACTGACCCAGTAAGTATGTTTATTCGGGGACAGATGCAGGAGATGGCAACGCGACACTGCGCAGTAGACTTATTTTCGCTCGCGCTACTGGCGAGGAATGAGCGCACCGCAGTGTTGCAATTGCGCCTCTTCAAACCTACGGCTCCGGTATTCGGTTCATTTAGCTTGATTCCGACATACGGAGCTAGGGTGGAAAGAGGGCCCATATAAGGAAAAATTCAAGAAGGCACTGGTTTGATGTTCAGAATTATTCTCTTATTTTGGCAGTCTGCGATGTGCTAAACAACATTCCTCATCACCGATCATTTCACTTCCAGCTGATGGTGATGTGCTTTTGCTGTCAGGCATTAACGCTTCATGAAGTTGGACGGCAACCCCTTAACAGTGAGTTGCTCCTTAGTGTAACGAAAAAGGAAGATCATTCATCTATGAACCGATAAGCTCAAGACCCCCAAGACTCAAGACAAGATCATGGGACGCGCGCGGTTGCGGCGCGGCAAGTATGTGGCAAAAGGTTGCACTATCTTGGACTCACATGCAAACCGTATCACGCAACAATTAGACACGTTTTATGATCATCTCGAACCGGACCATCAAGGAAGGCCATTCCACACTGGTTGTTGGGAGGGTGGGATAACTTGGATCATTGCGTTCATATTATTGGTCCAGTGGAGCCGTACTTTTCAAAATGACGAAATAGCTGAATGAGGAAAAGGAACTGTTAACGTGAACTCAATTACAGCAGCTCGAAGTAAATGCTTTGCTCTTTTGTATACTCCAAATCGCTGAGCTCGGTAGCGCGTGGGCCAATTATTTGGACAGTGAAGGTCGTCTCTTAAGAAGTAGTCGTTCAAAAACTTCCTCCCTTCTGTACTTCGAAATCCTGAAATCGGGTAGGAGTGGCCGCATTTTTCAACTTAACCTGAAGGTGTCTACAGTCGTCATCCTTGCACTTGATAGTCAATGTCAGTGCGGCTGCGTGCGGCGCGGTCGCCCGCACCCGTACTGCACCAATCGTTGAACCAGGAAGTGACATTACTGTATTATATCCTTCGTGTTACTCGTTTTCTATCACTTTTTGTCGCATACGCGTTTCAACGAAAAGGCTGAGAAGGCTTCAAACAGTGTGCACGCTCCTTCTCGCCGACACGCCCCTATCAAGCTGCACAGGATACGATCGTACTACTTCTGGTTGAAATAATTCCATCTGAACACAATTGTTGTCGTATCTCTGTCCAGCACAGAACAAGATGACAGTTGTCGCAGACTGGAAGGTTCCACGAGTAACCAGGTCCGTGTCATGTTCGTGCCACGCCTACTCTGGCTCAGGGATAAGGAGTGTACAAGAATAGGAACGTACCGATGAGAAAACCCATTGGTTGGTTTATTGACCTCCATACGACATGACCAGCGCGTGTAACCCCCCCCCGACGCGACATCCCTCCGAGCCGTTGGAAAAAAACGTTGTATTCATAGAATAGGCAAACCGCGAAGATGCCATGGCCTACCATGAAGGCGACATCTTCCCCAGATGAGATTGCTTAATCAACCAGAAGAGATAAATGAATGGCCCAACAACGCCCCCAAATCCTACATGAGATTCAGTTAAGCGAATTTCCCTTCGCATTCGCTGTTCATCTTGTCTACCGACAACTTCCGCCTTATTCGACAGCTTGTTCAAACTATGACTTCGCTTCCAGTATGGACCGAAGAGCCGTGCACACCTTATTACTGGGCTATGCATCTACGAAACAGGTTTCATCGTGGCATTTCCTGACTAAATGACATCTCCACGCACAGTCTCCCCGCGATTGGAGGAGGTTTTCTTGTTTGCAACGTAGTCCTGATCCTCAACGTAAGTTATTTTACTTCAGCCTGCCTGCGCAAAAAGTGACGAGGGTCTGTGTCATAACGGTGGCAGTTCTGATGTCTCCTAGTTATCCATCATTACTCTTGGTCTCATTAAATTCATTCTAGTGGAATCGTTAGAAAAAATACATTGGCCAGACTGTTAATACGATTTTTGTGAGGAGAATTCCTCCTCAATCGCTCGTTTAGCCGTAATTTGATGTAGCCTTCATTCTTCAGATCATTGTCATTCCGAAATTTGGTTTCTTCATGGAACGACAAACGCATGGAAGAGGAAGGATTGGCTCACTGTCGTGAACAGTACGAGTGGATGATCGAGGAAATGGAGATTTACAGGGATTTGGAAAAGAACAGCGGTACGTGATGTATGTTTAATTACTATCCCAGATTAGAGGCACCTTCCCTCTGATAGCATGCGAAGAGTTGCGGGAACAGGTTGAGCTTTTGCTAATGGTGTGTTGATGATAACATAGCACGACATGGCAAAAGCTCAAAACCAGGTTGGAGTCACCTGCCTGAATTTTTAATTTTTGCCTTTGCAAGCACGCCCGTGAACTCTTTGTCTTGCCCCAATTCTTCAAAAACGGCGGGACACTCTTAAGAACTTTTCAAGGAATTCAGACCTTGGGCACTGTGAGTTTCGGTACATGCTAGAACTAGCTTAAGAAAGATTTCTTTCCTTTATTTTCTTCTACCTGTTCTGAACCTAACCAATAATTTTGTGGCAGCTGGAGCAGTTCACCAGCTAAGTAACGGTAAGGTGGCTAGAATCGTCACCTATTTTTCTAAATTCGGCTGTGATAAAGCTCATTCTACTCCAACCAACGGGATCTCCTGACCCGCACCTTCGCATATTTTTCAAATGTCTAGAAAGAAAGCTTTGTGAAACTCAGCAGAATGGCTTTTTATTGAAGGCTGTTCTGCAAATCGTCGCCTTCGGTCAGCTGCTCTTGCGCAAAAAACGAGCATCAAATGTCAGACAAACTCCAAGAATAACACAAGCACCGCTGTTCGACAGGTAGCTGTTGAAAACCGAGCCGACCTCTCCAATCTTCTATGGGCATCATTGATGGCAAATATCTTCCTTCTGTGTTTGATTCTAATGTTTGTATGTTTAATAATGTGTTGTGGAAAGAAAAAAGGTTATTAAATTGTTTCAAGCTACTATTTTCATAGCATCAAAATGCTCCTTTACAAAGTTCTTGACCCTCTTCAAAAAATCATTACTGGTTTCCCAGTTGTCCGTAGTTTTTGGCATATTCCTAGGAGTTTCTGTTCAGGCAGACTATATTAGCTTACCTATCGAAATCATTTTGAAAGAATACGTAATCGGCACTATTTAAAGGCAGTTGGCACGATAAATCCCCCAAGACGAGTAGGATTAATACGCCTGGCAGGACGGAATTCCGCGACCCTGAGCAGGCGCTGCATAGCGCCTTTTCCCAAGGGAGGTGCCCTTATAAAGGCCCTATGAAGCTATAACATTCCGACCGAACGCCCGCCACGTCCGCCCGCCCACAAATGGACGACCGTTCCTGACGCTCGTACTGCTTCATTTGCTAAGTAAATTATGAAGCGAAGGGATTGGTATGAAGGGGCCGTGATGCTGCATGGATATATGAGTACACATATGCAAGCCGTACCTTCGGTAGCGGTTATTGGCAAGATGCCTACGGGAAACTCGTCCAAAATCGACATTCAAGTTCCTCGAAAACGAGGCTCTTTCTTCGCGGTATTTTGACCTTTCACTCCATTTCGCCATTTTCCGTAGTATATAGCCCGCCCTCATTGCGCATTTTAGGCCAAAGACCAAATTATCCTGCCATCTGCCTTTAAGAAATATCCCAATATTATTTTGTGGATATTGGTACGGTAATCAGTACCGTAATCATAAGAATATACAACTCGTTATTAACGCCATCAGCTTGGCCAAAAGTAGTCGCCAATTTCGCGCCATCCCTTTCTTCAAAAGTCTCCTATAAACTTGCATACTGGGGTTCTTTGACGTTTTTTCATCTTGAATATGACTTTTACTTTCGGCGCCGACGCTCTTGTAGGGCGTTCTTGTCAACACCGCTTGCTTGGGCCGTTTAAATTACTGCGATGGAGGACGATCATTTTGTTGCCTTATAAAGGGCCATTCTGAAGCTACAACATTCGACCCGAAGGCCCGCCGCTTTAAATGGACGACCGTTCCTGACGCTCGTACTGCTTCATTTGCTAAGTAAATTATGAAGCGAAGGGATTGGTATGAAGCGGCCGTGATGCTGCATGGATATATGAGTACACATATGCAGCCGTACCTTCGGTAGCGGTTATTGGCAAGATGCCTACGGAAACTCGTCCAAAATCGACAGGTGTTTGAACGAGGCTCTTCTGGGCATGGTATTTGACCGTTCACTCGTTTTTATTCGGCCATTTTCCGTATTTATGTATATAGCGCTGCTTGAGTTTTAGGCCACAAAAGGAACAACCGGGAAATAACTGCATATACATGTGTGATAAGTAACAATTATGACCCGAATAATTGAATTAAGTTGTGATTATTAAGTACGGTTACTGGTACTGTGATGCATAGATAGTGACAATCGATGTATTAACGCCATCAGATTGGCAAACTACGTCGCCAAAGTGTCGCAGGGGCCAATCCTTTCTTCAAGTTTCATATAAACTTGCGGAAATAACTGAGTGGGTTGAGATATGGATCATTCGTAAGTAAGCGTGGTTCGGCGGGCACCGAACGCTGCAATGTAGAGGCACTCTGGGTCAATACACGGTCTGCTTGGCCTTGGATATGACGGGAGGTGATCCTTCTGTTGTTCCTGCCAGATTCACCTACACAAAAAGCGGCCGAAATGGAGCGATGGTGCCAACGATGCGCGGGAAAACGATCGTTAATGCGAATAATTGAAGGCGCACACGGTGGACTGGCAGAAACGCGGATTCTATCTCAAGCGGACCTCTCAGAGATGGTGAGCGTAACTCTGCGGTGATGATCCACATACTTTGCTGTCGGCGGGTGAGGTCTAACTTGTAGCCGAGTTTGCTTTTTGGAAGGAGCGCTACACATCCGAACGCTTGCAGAGTTTCCGCCATAAACGCGAAGTCGAAAAGCTCGAAATGATTATTCGCAGGGACTGTGGATCAGGAAACTCAGTTACAGCGAAGCGTCAAAACCCAGATAAAACAATCGAGAGCCACAGTGGCTATAAACACTAAAACAGCAACGCAGATGCATCGTGGGACAACTGACTACACAAAATCGCCTTTAGGAATTCAAATCCAACTTTTGTCTGCATAAGGAGAGGATTGTATGAAGGGAGTCCTGCAGACTGTCCGCCACTCAACGGCGGCGTTTTGAATTTGTCAGCCGAGTGCGACTCTCTTTGTTTTTAGTCCGTTGAAAGCTTATCACAGCAACCACAGTAATATGCTTTGATAACATATACGGCAGGAAATATCTCTGCTTCAGTGCCGTCAGCCTACTATTAGGATTAGATGTTAGGTTGTCCGGAATATCTCGACGTTAATTGTGGTTACTACTTTTGTTAGATTTCATTGCTGATTAAAACTAATTCTCACCCTTTAGTCTCAGTAGTATACTCTAAAGAAGTAATTTCTTGCGCTATCTGATGGTATAATTGCCGTTTCACCATTGCTTGATAAACCCTCTTTTTAAAGATTTTTTTCAAGCATGTGAAAAGAGCACTTCGGACGATTTTTTCTCGACTAAGAAATTGGATCAATCGCAGTCGAGAGAGCTCGAAAAATTAACGAGGTGTGGGGCGGTAGTGTTGAGAAAGGCATGTGACAAGAATGGACAAATTTTCGTTCTGGAGACACCGAGGCAGTTTCCAAGCTCACCAAAAAGGCCTACGCAAAAATCTTCACGCAAAAAAGGTTAGGTGGACACAGTGTGGTAGTCACTCGGCTTGGTGGTGAATCCCTAATAATTTTTGTTACGCAAGGCAACCATCATGCAGAGTCCGTACTGTGAAGAAATCCGACGAAATTTAGGCCAAAGTCGGTCAGTTTGCAGCCAGACACTTGTCAACAGAAAGGGTCCGATTCTTTTGCATGACAACGCCCGCCCACACGTTTCACAAATCACTATCCATAAATTGAACGAATTGGGGGTTGAAGTTCTACCTCACCACCATATTCTCTAGACCTTTCACCAACCGACTATCACCTTTTCAAACATTTTCAGAACTTCCTTGCTGAAAATACTTCATCAAGTTAGGACCAGGCAAAAAAGCTATCGTGGATTTCTTAGATTCTCGACCACCCAGTTTTTTTCTTTTGATGAGATTTCTCATGGTGTACAATTGAAAAAAGTGTGCTGATTCGAACGGTGCTTGTTTCGATTGAATTCGATGAGTATTAAGAAAGTTATGATCGTTTAAAGTGAAACACTCAAAACGCTGAGAACTTTCCGGACAACCTATGTGTGGGGTGAAAAATTCAAGCGTTGACTTGTTGAGCAGATAAACAAGGTCAAAAACCACATTCATATATGTAAGCATCCTAATCAAAGCCTTATCAAATTACATTCTCACGTTCGGTGCCTACGATTAGTATACGGGCACGTGAATAAACGTCAGTTCAATGGCATGAGGCATGATAATTTAATACCTGCTCAAAATTTTAAGTAAGCAAGTTAGTGCCATATACTATAAGTAAAGTTTCTTCAGAAGAGATATATATAATATATGGTGCTTTATAAAAGTTTCATATCTCATTCCCACTTTCTACCACGTCACGCTACCCGAATTTCGGTTACTTTGTTGTCTTTATTCTTTTATATTCATAGTTTATTTGTGTGTGTGCTTTCCGTGTCAAGCTGTGTTTTCTGTGCGATGAGTTGTGTCACTACTTCTTACATTATGCAGCGCACCTTGCTGGGTGTATTTCATGCATAAGATAAATAAATGTAGGTAGTGAAATGAAGAAAGGCGCACTCAGGTCCCGCGACCACCGCCGTCATAGTACTACAGTTCAAAAACTGACGATGTGTTTTGTGATTATTGAAAAGAAGGAAGGCACGAAAACCGGAATAAGGCCCTATTATTGGGGAATTGTCACTGATACCGGACGCGGCGGAAAGGTGGTCCAGGATGCATGTGTGAATTTACGAAAGGTGGCGACGCGCGATAAGAGCACGAGAAGAGAGGCCAGAAAAGACGGAAGAGAGAGTGGGGAATGCAGTCCCACAAGACGACACAGTCACTGGAGTGCGCGGCATGGGCTTCGGGAGCAAATGGCCAATTGAATGCCTGCGTTCTGGCTTACTATTTTTCACTATTTGAAGCAGCATAGCCTCTGACGGTTGCCTGCTTGACATACGCGGCACGGTTATGGGCCTAGCCTAGCTATCGCGGAACGTGCCTTTAAACGGCCAAAAACCCGCAAAGGAAGCCCTTGTTCTGCACGGCATTGGACGACCACTTTTGGACGAGTTTTCTCGTTGGCATCGTACAGCAACCGCTTTGATATGGACGAGCGGGTGCGGTGAGGTCGGCGTTTTGCACCTTGCTTGGGCGCTGTAACGGTGCCTTACGAGGAAAAGGACGCCACGCAGCGCCTGCTAGAAGGCAGCACAATATTCTTCCGTGCTAGGAGTATAGACTTTGTACGCCTTTTCGATTTATCGTGCAAGTTGCCTTTGAAGAGCAAAAAGTCAAATGTCAACAGGGCATGTACTGGTGTGAACGGAAATTTTGTGAAATACGACCTCTCCGAAATACCATCCTTCGAAAAACCCTCTCACAACTTACCAACCATCTTCCCAATTCTTCCCTTTGCCGAACATGAGGGACGGGGTGTTATACTCCTTTGACCAACCACCGGAATTAGTAGCCGTTGACGCGCTGCCCACTAGGGGATACGTTCTGTATCCAGGAGATGGAATGGTCGTAATCGCGTATCTAGAGGACCGCGTGGCAATGGCCGTGGAAAAATTGCTAGTTGCCAAAGAATGATTCGCTATTGGCATTTGTGACCTAATGACACTCAACTAGTTGATATGAAGTATGACAAAGTCGAGCGATGCTAGGAAGAAGCACAAATCTTCGATACAGCTGTCACGAGCGACAGTGAGTCCGCAATTACGACCCCTCCTACCGTGAACTACAGAGTGTAGCGCTAATG